TTTCAATTTTAATGATCCTGATAAATTCAGTAGAATGGAATTAAAATGCTGTCACCACATCGAGAAATAAAAGTTTAGATGTAACTTGGTACTGTTCTCACATTTTAGATGTTCTTATTCACTGATGGCTGCAGTGCAGTTTCTCTTCCCTGTATAAAAAGCATTTATTGAGCTATAATTTACCTGCAATAGAAGCAGTATTTTTGAGTATAGTTCAGTGAGTTTTGGCAAATGTACATATCCTTGAACGTATTCCCATCTACCCCAGAGAGTTCCCCCCTGCTTCCTTGGAGTCAAAATTCTATGTTCCCCTCCCTCCCGCCTACCCCCCTCCACATCCTGCTCCAAACAACTGCTGATTTGAATCCCATCACTATAGATTATTTTAAAAAATTTTTCATGTTCTAGAACTTCAGTATGTACTTTTGTGTACCTGGCTTCATTTGTTCAGCAAAATGTTTCTGAGATTCTTAGTATTTCTTCTCTTTTACTGCTGAGTAGTATTCCTCCTGCTGCCCAAGTTTTAAAATAACATTTCTTCATAACTGTGACTTTCTAATCAAAAAGTTGAGGCCTCAGGGCAATCTAATATTAAAAGTTCTTGTAGCTTCTTGTGTCTGCGGCTTTGGCTAATAACTTAGTTTAGGGAATAATTTTGGTGATGTTCATTTTCCACACAGCCTGATGCCATCTCCCCCACCCTTAAACACAGGCAGAAATTCTACCTTCTTTTTCAGTTTTCCTCTCTGTTAGTAGGCAAAAAGGAGAAGTGAGCTGACTACACTGTATACATCCTAGTGTGAAATACCATAATGGTCTTTTTTCCGATCAGAAAGGAGTTTGCCAAGCTTTACTGACCCACAGTAAGTTTATCCCTCCCTCTCTTGATCAAGAGCCTAGTAGGGTGTTGCATGACATAAACTTTATTTTTAACAATTTCCATAGTAACCATTAAACAAAAGAAAAATCTGAGAATTGCAGAACCAAGGTGAGAAGAGTAGAATATCAGAAATCAAATTCTAACAGATTTTAACTAACGTTTAAGAGAGAATGGATTTAGTAGCTGGAGTTCCTAGCCCAGAGACCAAGAACTCCCAAGAGGATCTGGGAACAATAGCCTTGAGAAATACGTTTAAAAAGTCCGATAATGGTCATTAAGAGATACACAAGTTGTAGGGATGAAGAGTAGAGCATGGGGAATATAGTCAATAATATTGTAACAACTTTGTATGGTGACAGATGACTGCATTTAATCATGGTGAGCATTTTATAATGTATATGATTGTCCTATCACTGTGTTGTATACCTGAAACCAATACTATATGTCAACTATACTTCAATTAAAAATTTAAATAAAGTCAAAACCATAAGTGTTGACAAAAACCAGTACTTCCCTACCTCATCCTTCCCCAATCCCAACTGCAAAACTTCAGAGGCACTGACTTTTACTCTTTGTAAAATGCTTATACTATTCTTGATCTTTCTATTTTAGACATGGTGTAGGAGCTTCCAGCTATGGAAGATGAGGATTTAGGTCTCCCTCCCACTCTTTTCCCCTACCCCACTTCATCTTCTTCCCTCAACCTCTGTCTCTCTGGTTGTATCCTAGTTTTTGGTTAAATAGATAGTGCTTATTTTATTAAGACTATGTAAATATTTACCTCTAAGCCATCCGGTATACTATTGGTGCTTCTGCAATTTTGTTGTTGCTGTTTTCCTTGCAGTTACTGATTGAATGTTCCTGTTGCCTTTCTTCTGCATTGGTTTTCCCCTTTCCTGGATCCTGTGTTTCCTATCTTCTGTTTTTCTCTTGTGGTGATGGAGCGCGTTCTTTACTAGCTTGCTGAGATATGGTGCATATAAGGTTTATTTGTTTGTTTATTTTTGAGAGTTATATATCTGAAAATGTCTTTATTATACTTGTATTATACCTCATACTTGATTGATAGTTTTTCTGGGAAATAATTCTCTCTTAGGATTTTGAAGCTATATTATTCCTTTGTCTTGTAGCTTTTAGTGTTGCTGTTGAGAAAAGTCTGATGCATTCTGATTCACAGCTCTTTGTATGGATTTTGTCCCTCCCCCCACCCCCCTTGAAAGCTTTTAAGATTGTCTCTTATATCCCTGTGTTCTCACATGTCAGGATAACGTGCCCTGGCTTGGGTCTTTTCTCACTCCATTTTCTTGAACATTGGTGTGCCTTTTCAATCTAAAAACACATGTCTTCTGGGACATTTTTCTTTTATTATTTTATTGGTATTTTTCTCTACTCCATTTGTCTCATTTTTCCTCCCCTGGAACTCCTCTATTTGGCAAATAGTGGACTTCTTGGGTCAATTCCCTCATTTTCTTTTATCTTTTCTCTCTTGTTTTTGTTTTATTCTCTGGAGATTTCCTCAAGGGTAGCTTCTAGCCTTTATATTGGATTTTTTTGTCTAACCTATTTTAATTTCCAAGAGTAGTTTTGATTCTGGTTTGTTTTTTGTTTTTTTTTTTATAGCATCCTATTCTTGTTTCATTGATGCAGTGCTTTCTTCTATTTTTCCTAAGGATATTAATTATAGTTTTAAAAAACTTTTGTTTCCTGCATAGTGTTTGTCCCATTCCCCCCCACCCCCCCGCACTTTTTTCTTTTTGTTTTGATGCCTGACTTTGCATATTCCAGGCTTTCCTTGGCTGTCTGGTGATCCTTGGCTAACTATCTGAATGGAAGAGGGAGGCGGTACGAAGCTGATTGGGAACTCAGAGCGTGTTGTGGGCCTTGTCTAGTGATGAGTGGTCAGGGATCCAGCAGTTTCCTTGGTGAGACCTCAGATGTCACTAACTCTAGGTCTTTTGCCTGGTCACCTTTCCCAGGGAAAGCCCTACGTTTCCTGTGTTGGAGCTAAAAATCAAGCTGAGTATATTTAGAGGCAACCCTAGCTGGAGGCTGAGGGTCTGAAGGGGACTGAGGATTTTACTGTTCCATAGGCCCACTGTGATCTCATTCTTGTGTTTGCTGTCCAGTGCCTCACACTCTCCCCTCAGCCCGGATCCTTTCTGATCTTCAGTTCATAAACCTTCTATTTGGCCAATGTTTGGGGGGAGGGAATTTCCCATCTGTGTGGTTTGTTGAGGATCCAGGGCTCCAAATACACCTTATGGAAGGTGTGAGCCCTGTATTCCTGCCTTCAGTGTCCTTGGTGTCCCCTTGTCAGTGGTAGGAAACCCCACTTCATGCTGGGACTTTCAGATTGCTGTCCTCTGCTAAATTACCCATGTTCTGCTTTCTTGCTGACTTCAAAGGTTTTGTTACCATCTCTTACATGCCATTCCCTCCTCTCTGTTCTCTTTTCTAGGTGCTTTATGCTTAGCAGAATTTTTTTTTTTTTTTTTTAATCACTTTGGGAGTGCAGGAAGGAATGGAGGTAATTAGGACCATCTTCAATAGATTTTCAAAGGGGTCCGTGACTCCCCCAAAAGCTAGTAGTCATTCCATTGTGCTTATCAAGAGAGATTGCAAAGTCTCTTTAGTTAGGCTTCTTTTTACATTGGAGAGTTTCTTAAAAGTAGGATTAGGTATTGCCCTAAAGTTATAGCAATAGAGTAGATGCTTTCTCAAGAAATGTTCTGATCTTAGCATTCAATCTTTGTATTTTCCATGTGTGTTGGAAAACTGTTGAAATTTATTTTCATAATCACCAGAAGCATAATATTTGTGAGTATGTGCACCACCACACCAAATCTTGTAGAAGAAAGATATTCAATGGTCAAAAACATGGTAGACTTTCTAGGGTGATGGAAATGTCCTATATTTGATGGTTTGGATTATATAGATGTCTTGCATTTGCTAAAATTCATCAAATGGCATACCTGACATGTATTCATAAATTTTACCTAAAACAAAACACAAAATAACTACTCTCTTTCTCTTAAAAAAAAAAAAAAGTTGGGGGTTGTGCCTGGGTGGCTCAGTCGGTTAAGCATCCTACTCTTGATTTTGGCTCACGTCGTGATCTCAGGGTAGTGAGATTGAGCCCTGGGCATAGAGCCTGATTAAGATTCTGGGCATGGAGTCTGCTTAAGATTCTTGCTCTCCCTGTCCCCTGCCGCACACCACCCCCTTCTCTCTCTGTAAAAAAAATAAACCATAAAAAAACCAAAACAAAAAACCGTAATCAAATACTAAATTCTAATTTAAATAAAAATACATGTAAGGAATGTCAAGAGTATATGAGAGTAGCTCTGTGAATTGTGAAAGGTCGTGATTCTTTTTATTTCATGTCATAAAAATGGAAAAGTCTTAATTATGAATATGAAAATGTGCTCCTCAGGTACATTCTGACTACCCCTCCCTGCTCTTCCTCCTGTTTAGTCGAGCTATGCCGTACTGGTCACCAAACTGCAGATCTCTGAGAATGTTTGAAATTGTCTTATTTACTATCTAAAAATCCTTGGTATGTCCCAGTTCCTCTTATTTTGAGATTATTTCTAGATGTGTCTACTCTTTTCTGGAAAGTGGGCTTATTTTCATGTCATTTGAGATGAATGTACAGTTCCTTGGCTCTAAACTTGAGCTGACTTATAGATGTAGGATGGTCCAAGTGACTTATCAGCTGAATAAGAAACATGCAGAGAAGAATGGGCAAGGAATAATAGCATGGCCTCTATCAGTCATTCTCTTTCAGATATTTTAACATCAGTGGGTAGATATTTTAACATATTTTCAGGGATCTCTATGTCCTAAGTCCCTTTTTCTAGATTCACTCAAAGGTAGCTTAGGAGCAGTTTACTCATTTCACAGGAGAGCAAAATACACACGGAGGTGGAGACCCATCCCGGTGAGTCAGTGTCAGGACCAGGATTAGAATTTTGCAAGCCAACCAACCATGGGAATAAGTGGGAGGGGGAGTGAGGAACGGTTTACTTCTAGTGACACTAACGAAGACAACTTAACTAGATTACAGGTTTAGGATGGCAAGACTTTGGACTGATTTAAGATTGAATCTGTTTTATCGTAGGTAAAAGAGAATCTGCTTTCGTGCAAGATGCTGTTGCACTGCAAAAGGGATGAACTTCGGAAATTGTGGATTGAAGGAATTGAACATAAGCATGTCCTGAACCTGCTGGACGAGATTGAGAATATCAAGCAAGTGCCTCAAAAGCTGGAACAGTGCATGGCGAGCAAGCACTATCTCAATGCCACGGACATGCTGGTAAGAGGTCATTTCCGCTCAGCCGGGGGAGCCCTTGCTCTTGTTCCCGGAATGCTGGCTTTCAGGGAGCACATTACAAACTGCCCTCTTGGGGTTCACAAGCCCTTGCAGGTGAAGCCTCACAGGCTCCCTTCCTAATTCCAGTGTTGGAAATGGTAGGCGATTATTTATGTATTGTCTGCCTTTGGAACAATGGCAGGTCGTATAATGGTAAAAAAAAAACAAACCCGGTACCTCAGTCATGTTGGCATGGTAATGAGAGGTGTTTGAGTTTCCGAGGAAGATGGCTAATGAGTCCCATTTTATTTTATTTATTTATTTACTGATTTTTTTTTTTTTTTAAAGGAGGCTCCATGCCCAGTGTGGGGCTTGAACTCACAACCCTGAGATCAAGAGCTGTGTGCTTTACTGACTGAGCCAGCCAGGCTCCCCTAATGAATCCCATTTTAAAGAATGAAGTCTGCATGAGAGACAACTTTAGGAGATTGATGGACTTGATGTTCTTCAAGTTCTTTGAAAGGATTGTTATGTGAGGGCTTAGGTTTTTTTTCCTTTAAATTGATGAGAAAGAAAATAATTCTGGAGCAATAATTCTGGAAGGGACTTTGTTAAGCAAGAGTACTCTGCAGCCTGGCCTTTAGCCTCTGAGGCCATTCTATTACTTTTATTTTTATTTATTTATTTATTTATTTATTTATTTATTTATTTATTTATTTATTTATTTATTTTTTATTATTATGTTACTCACCATACATTACATCATTAGTTTTTGATGATACTTTTATTTTTTTAAAGTAAGCTCTACATCCAGTGTGGGGCTTGAATTCAAAACCCTGAGATCAAGAGTCACGTGCTCTACTGACTGAGCCAGCGGGCTGCCCCCATTCTGTTACTTTTTGAATTAGAAACAGATATTCAGAGAATGTTGCAACTGTTGGTGCATGTGGCTGTCAAGAAGATGAATAAAAAATAATATATATCTTGTTACTTATTAAGACTAATTTCTCAGGGCCTGTGGCTCTTAGAGAGCTGCTCTATCTACCTCCCCTTTCCACACAAGCACCCCCACTGCCATCTGATTCAGAATTGTTTGGGGACTATAGAAGCCCTCTAGCAGATGACTTCATTTGGACTCTTTTTTCCACAATAGGTGAGCGTACCTTATCTTTGTTTCACCAAGTTAGATTGGCTGTTAACACTGGAAAAAATACTGAGGGGACTTGGTGGGAGAAGCAGGGTAAATCCTCCAAGTGGTTCCAGTTGAGATTTTCAAGAAGAATTTTGCCATAAGTCCTTCATAAGAAGCTTTTAAGGGAATTTGGTAACCAAGACGTGAGATATGCTATGATATTCTATCATATATTAAAACCTGGTTGTGTGATAGGAGTGAACAGTAAGCAATTCACGTAATCTGTCAGCTAAAAGGACAGGAGTATATGTGGAATGCCACCTATATGTTCCTTCTGCCTGTTGTCTTCAGTGTTCTCCTGTAGACTGTTTCTTCCACATGTGGGTGGGGTTTGGGGGTTTGGGAGAGAAGAAGGGGTGTAGGCTGTGGCCTGTAGCTTTCAAGCTTTGCAGAGGAAAATTTTTTAATTAAAAAATATGGGAGTAGGGTCTAGGTTGGGTCAGCTTGAGTACTATGATTGTCAGTTCCAATTAAAATTATGTGGTTGGGGGGAGTGGGGATCTGGGGAGTGGGGTGGGAAGGAAGAGCAGTTACCTCCAGAAAGAGGTGAGTGTATGAGTTATGTTTTCCAGAAGTTCCTTCCCCCCCCCTTTGTTGTTTATATATTCTGGATACTAATCTGTCGCCAGTTGTGTTTGAAATATCTTCTCCTAGTTGGTGGTATATCTTTTTACTTTGTTTATGAAGCCTTTTGTTACAAAGAAGTATTAAAATTTAATGCAATAAACTTTTTTTCCTTTATCCAGTTTTTTTTTTTTAGAATAATCATTTTATTTTCAGTTTTTTTCAATTTTTGAAAGAGAGAGAGCATGAGTGGCAGAGGGAGGGGTAGAGGGAGAGGGAGAGAGAATCTTAAGCAGGCTTCACGCCCAGTGTGGAGCCCTGAGATGATGACCTGAGCGGAAATCAAGAGTTGGACGCTTAACTGACTGAGCCACCCAGGTGCTCCATATCCAATTTTTATTTCAAGAATTTTTTTTTCTATCCCAGTGTCATATAGAGAATCTACTATGTCTTTTTAAATCTGTTTGGAATCTGTTTCCCTATATGGATGAACTAGGGATCTAATTTTATCTTCTGTATAAATAGCCACATGGCTCAGACCATTTGCTGAGTTTATTTCCTCCTGACTTCTAATGCCATCTTGGTCACATATCAAGTTTTCATGTATGCATGGGTCTGCCCCTGAGCTCTTTGTTTTGTTCAGTTGGTCTTGTTTATATCTGCACCGAAACCATGCTGTTTTAATTACTATTATCTTATGATATATCTTGATTTTAGCAGGTGGAGACGTTCCCTCACCTTGCTTTTCAGAATTATATGTGCTATTCTTGGCCAGTTACTCTTCCATATGAATTTTAGTATCAACTTGTCCACATTCCTCAAAAAGTGTCATGAGATTGATTCACTTTGTAAGAATTTCATCTTTGTACTATTGAGTCTTTTCAGTGAGTAGGTCTCATTTATTGATGTCTTCATTTATGTTCCATATAATAATGCTTAGTAATGTATTGCCTAGAGGTATTAAATATATTATTTCTTGCTTTTGCATTTTTTAGAACAGTGGTTTTTTATTAATGACAACTTCTAGTTATTTGTTGCTAATGTAGGGATGTGATAGATGTTGTTTAATTGATCGTATTTCCCTGAACCTAATCCCAATCCTGTCTGCCTGGAAAATGATGATTTATTTTTTAAGGCTTGGCTCAAATTTCGTTAGCTCTCTGAATGTCCCAGGTGATTAGCTGCTTTTCTCTTTTCACAAAAAAAATGAGGTATTGTTTTTATTGTGGTAAGAATAGTTAGCCTGAGTAGGTGCTTTTTCTGTTTGTTTCCATAAGCTGCATGTACTTCCTTGTAATACAATTGCTTTTGTTTATATGGTAGGTCATTGAGGGCAAGGGCTATATCTTATTTATTTTTGTCTGCCCTGTTCTTAGCATAGTGTGCCTCATCTAGTTAGGGTTCACAGATCATTAGCCAAATGGGTAACTATGGGAAAGACTTTAATATACTAAACAGATAGTAGGGTGTTCCCTCTCTAGGGGCTCTGGTCTGATTTTTCTCTGGTTTCAGTGTTTGTTTTAACGGCAAGTTTCTCTAGTTTCCAACCTTTCTTTTTCGCAATATTTAAGTGAACAACAAACAATAATTACAATAACAGCTAATATGTATTGAGTTTTCATTATGTTCTGTTACTACTTCAAGTCTGTTACACTTGTTAACACATTTAATTCTTGCAGTAACCCTATGAGAGAGAGGTTTCTGATATGACCCCTATTTTCCAGACGAGGTAGTTGCTTTGCATGATCTGAGGAGTTGGCTTATCCTAATATACAATGACGATTTCATGAAGGTAGGATTCAAGGTGTGCTTAAAAAGTTGGACATTTCCTTCAATTTGGCCCTTTGTATTTGAGTGAATAGTAAGGTCTATAATTGCTCTTTCATTGGACTTCCTATAAAAAAATTATCACATTTCCTTTCCCCATGGTTATGTGCTATTAGAAGTAAAATCTACTTAAGACATCTCAAGGGTCCAAATGAAAAATCTGCTAAAAGACATCAGAGGAAAGTGAAGACAAAAACTCGAGTCTTCCAGGGGGCGCCTGGGTGGCTCAGTCGTTAAGCGTCTGCCTTTGGCTCAGGTCATGATCCCAGAGTCCTGGGATTGAGCCCCGCATCAGGCTCCCTGCTCCGCGGGAAGGCTGTTTCTCCCTCTCCCACTCCCCCTGCTTGTGTTCCCTTTCTCGCTGTGTCTCTCTCTCTCAAATAAATAAATAAAATCTTTAAAAAAACAACAAAACAAAACAAAACTCGAGTCTTCCGAAACTCTCCAATTTCCCTGGATTTGTTTATCAAAAGATTTTTCATTTCCATGGTAAGGCAGGTGCAGATGGCCAGTAATTTAATCCCTACTCAGGTTCATAAATCCAGGGTAAATAAATCAGTGGTGACCCATGGCTCTTGTCAGCTCCTGCAATTCCTGCTTCACCTTCACACTGCTCTGAAAGCTATAGACTTGGCTTCTAGATGGGATATTTATTTCTTCTTTTGATATGATAACCTGAGTATTGCATAAAATAATTAAATTGTCATGACAGGGAATGTCTGCAAATAGGCATGGCCTTTTGTTTCCTTCTTCAAGGTAAACAGCTGCTGTTAGCTTATGAAAAGCTAAAAGTGGTCCAACAAGAAGCCTGTATCCGTCGCATTGAAATCAGAGACTTGATTAATATTGTAGCCTGTAGCTTTGTGATATGTAGGGTTTAAATTAGACCTTTGCAGTCATTGTGCTGGGTTGATGCAAGCACATTAATGACATAATTTCTGGTTGCTGCATCACATTTCTGCAGTCTGTCCTTTGTATTCCACTCACATTAATTGAAGTAATTTTGCCAGTGAAGCGTGTTTCAAACCTCTGCATTTAAATTGAAATTTTAATTCCCTTATTGTCTTGAAAAGACGGCTGAAGATGCCTTGTTACAGGTTTCATTATCACTCAAAACACTCCAGCTGCTGGTTCTAATGTACAATGACTGATTAATTCTGGGAAGAATTATTAATATAAGAATAGCAGCTTCTTCCCAGTGGCATGAGCTAACCAGGAAGGGATTTGATGATAGTTAATATTTTTATGAACTTTTTTAAAGGAAAATTTATGGGGAAGTCTGCATCAGACTAAAACTGCACAGATGCGCTTTGAAAACCACTTACACAAGTTCCGATTTATCAACCCATAGAAGTCCATTCATAAATGTGTTCTATCAGTGGAAAGTAAGCCAGTGCGAGCGGTTTAGAAGCACTTTGGC